TCCTGTTGATTAAGATTTTTGCTATTTCCTGTAGAGCATTAACCTAAAATTTAATCACAAGGGAAAATAAAACATGATTTGGAAATGTTTCCAAATCTTTTAAAAAATGGCCATACAGATCCTTAGATTTCAGTATTGTTGATGCCCATTAAAAAGAGGCATTGACTGTTTCTTACCATGATTGACCATGCTAATGTATATAGTTGTGCATCTTAGGACATTAAGTGGTTTGCTGCTTTGATGGAAATTATGGTTCAGTGGGTTGGATACAAGAGAGATGATTGTTCACAGAATAACCTGTGAACTTTCACCCCTCTGTATGGAAACTTGTTTCAGGGCCAAATCCTTGTAGCTGTCTTCTTGCCCCGGTCAGTGCCAGCCGTACTATTCACAACACTGCTGCTACCGAGGCCTAGGTATGTAAACATTTAAGGAGTTTTTTAAAAGTTTTTAACATCAAGCTAGGTTTTAAAAGAATTCAAATACATTTTGGTATGCTTACAGGGTAGTTTATGTGGTGTAAATTTTAAAGAGTTATTTTGTTTCTTAGGGATTTTCTAAGTAAAAAATATTTATACTTGCTTTATAGTAGAATGGGGAAGAAAACTTTGGATGACAACAGTATGCTTCTTCAGTTTTCAAACTATTTCTAAACAATTTCTGGGCTTTATTCATAAAATAGGTACACCTGGGACAATTAATATTATTGACTGTTTTAACATTGCCTTCTTTTTATTTTACAAGCTAAGAAGAGATACCAGTGAAGCTAAATAGTGGACGAAAACAGGAGTGTTCTATTTTTTTTTTGGAGGGGGGCTGAGGGGCCATTGTTTTAAAATTGCCATTTGACTTTCAAAATACTATTGTTAATGTGAAAATAATTAGAACACATATACTACAATATATATAAGTACAGAAGCATTTAATTGCTATAACAGATCTAGAAGTAAAATAAGATTTCTCTTTTTAGAAAGTTGCCAGTGTGTCTGTAGTCAAGTTCTAATTGTAAAATGGGGACATTTTACCTTTCTTTCTTTGGATAGGATCAGTTCTTAAGAGCAGCCCCGGTAACTGGAGGAATGGGAGCCGTTTTGATGAGAAAAATGGGCTGGAGAGAAGGAGAAGGATTAGGAAAAAACAAAGAAGGAAATAAGGAACCTATCCTAGTTGATTTTAAGACAGACCGAAAAGGTAATAAGTTTTCTTTTGAAATGTTTATTATATCTCTTTTAACATTTTAGGGTTTCATCTTCTGTACATTTATTGTGGTCTTAGTATTCTGAATTAGTGGCATCTCTTCCTGTGTAATGCACAGCTGTTTTGCAGAAACAAACAACTTTAGCTAATCTATATGTAGATGGAGACAATGGTTTGAACTTTGAAAGGCAGTTTTCATCAATGCTAGTTGAAATATAAAATTTTCATGTTTCTAATTTTTGACTATAAATTTAAGTAGATATCATTATGTATTCTTTTGACAGGGACTATTTATTTACCTTCATTTCTAAGAACTGATTTTTTTCTTTCTCAAATATTTAACATTTTTTCCTTATTTGATAGTCTTTTGTCTATAAACTGTTTTTGCTTTTCCTTTTTTTCATACTTGGTCGTAAAGTTGTTGGCTGGAGAACAGTAAATCAACTACTGACAACAGTGTTATTACCTCTTCATATTAACTTGTGTTGGTGCACATTGGAAATTACAATATTCTTTTTTTTAAAATATTTTTTATTAGTTCTTTAGGTGGACACAATATCCATATTTTATTTTTATGTGGTGCTGAGAATCAAACCCAGTGTCTCACGCATGCTAGGAGAGTACGCTTCCGCTTGAGTCACATCCCCAGCCCCACAATATTCTGATATGAAGCAGTTGAGTGAGGTCTATATGGCCTGCTAGTATACTCAGAAAATGTCACTTAGTATCTTTAAACAGTTTTCTTGCCTTGGAATGTGTTCTGAGTGGAATCACCAGTGGCTGTTAGCTCAGCATAGCTTGTTTAGGCCCGATTTTTACAGAAGTGAAATGTTTTTTGTTTCTGTAGTTGAGCAATAACGTGGCGTTAATAAGTTTACTTGTGTTGATGAATTTGGGAACAGAATGCTTGTGTACCAAGTATGCACTGCATGATCCCAGGAAGTATTCTCCTTAGAATTGTACATGATTTGGGTATAAGTTTGCAGAAAGGACAGGTTTTTGGATGATAAAATAATATACTGGCATATAATTAGCAAAGGGAGTGATTGAAGTTTCCAGTAAAATATGTGAAAACTCATTTATAAATCTTTTTCTGGAACAGATTCTTAACAGCATTATTTTGATTGTTTTTGTGGTACTGGGGATTGAACACAAGGCCTTACACTTGCTAGGGAAATGGTATACCATTGAACCTACACCCCTAGTCATTTATATTTTGAGAAAGGGTCTTGCTAACTTGTCCAGGCTGACCTCCACCTTACAATCTTCGTGCCTCAGCCTCCTGAGTATCTGGGACTACAGGCACGTGCCACTACACCCAGCTAACACATTGTTTTTAAGACAGGAAGTTATAAGATCATTTGGAAAAATAGCTAGTATTGCATAAACTGGAGATGTTTATTTTATCAACATATGGTAAACAAATGGTATTTAATTTGTATAATTTGTTTACACACTAGATTCTTATACTATATAAACGTGTTCCAAGATCATATATGATTTTAAAATTATAAATGTTGGAGCTGGGTTGTGGCTCAGTGGTAGAGTGTTTCCCTAGGGTGTGTGAGGCATTAGGTTCGATCCCTGGCACCATTGTGTCCATCTACAACTTAAAAGAAAGATTGTATGAATCAGTTGAATATTTTACTTGAAAACATTGAGGTTCAGGCTTAAATACTGGGAGTTTTTCTCTATTATCCTTGAAAGTGATGCTTTTGAAATTGATTTAGTGAAAATTGGCTTTTTTTTTTTTTTTAAAGGTCTTGTTGCAGTAGGAGAAAGAGCACAAAAGAGGTCTGGGAATTTCTCTGCTGCAATGAAAGATCTGTCAGGTGAGAGCACATTTTTGAATTTCCATCTTGCTCCACCTAAATCTTGAATCATAATTTGTTACAAAAGATATGGGAAATAATTCAGAACTGGTTGTTTTTTTTTCTTTGCAGGCAAACATCCTGTATCTGCCTTGATGGAAATTTGTAATAAGAGAAGGTGGCAACCACCTGAATTTCTCTTGGTCCATGATAGTGGCCCTGATCATCGCAAACATTTTCTCTTTAGGGTAAATATGAATTTCTGCACTAATTGAATATGTTTTTATTTTGGTGACTTAAAAGTTAAGAGGGTAATATGATAATATTATTAATCTGTGGGTTGGGGGTGTATGTGTGTGGGTAGATTGGTTGGATTTTTTGAAAGATTGGGCAGAATCTGGTAAACAAGTTGTTCATATTTTCTAGTGGAATGTGGGAAGTTAATCTAGTACTTTTATCAGGTTGTTGGTTTTTTTTTTTGTTTTCATATTTTAATTTTAAGTTGGAAAACTGCTTTTAACTTGCAGTCCCTTTTTGCAAATCATTTGGCTTTTTCTGGGCTGACATTAATTTAATGTACATAGCGGCTGAGATTAATTTACATAGTATGGGTTTTATATTTTTGTAAATTATTTTTCTAGCATTTAGTGAAAAAATACAAAGCTAATAGATATTAAAGTTTGATGCTGTTCTTATTGTATGTTTTTCTTGAATAGGTATTGAGAAATGGAAGCCCTTACCAGCCCAATTGTATGTTTTTCTTGAATAGGTATTGATAAATGGAAGCGCTTACCAGCCCAGCTTTGCCAGCCCTAATAAGAAGCATGCTAAAGCCACAGCAGCTACTGTGGTTCTTCAAGCAATGGGCCTTGTACCAAAGGACCTCATGGCTAATGCCACTTGCTTCAGGAGTGCCTCACGTAGATAGATTGAGGTTTTATATTAATCATTTCAGATAATTTTACTCTGCATCACAATGTATTTCCTCTTTAATGTTGTAAATATTTGGCAATTTAAGACATTGTGTAAAAAGCAATCTGTACAAACATCTCCAGGCTTTGATTTTTGTACCATGGAAATTGTATTTAACCATACAGGGTTTTGGTATGTTTATATTGTTTACCTTAGTGATGTATTTGTTTAAGTGGCTAACATCGAAACAATTGTTTGAAGGCATCAGTAATCTTCAGTGTGGAATGTTAAATAACGCTTTTATACTGTATTTTGTACTATGATGTAACTCCCTTCCTTATGGCTAGGCTGCTGTAACACTTGCCTGTAATCAGTGAAGGGCTGTGCACCTTGTACTATTTCTCAATGGGTTCTGCTGGACAGATACTGGGCCAGTGTTATTGAGGTAATCAAGCAAGATCTGTTCCACAGGGCTAATGCCACCATCTCCCCTTAAAATTTTGTAGAGGTTATAAAAAGAAAGTGGTATGTTGTGTGATGATCAGCACTAAGTCCTGCATTCCCATTTAAGCCACTTGGGTCATAAGAAGGGGTGTCAAAATGAAGTCTGATTAGAATTTACTGCAGAGGCCAAGTACATTTAGTATGGCTTGAGTTGTGATATAGTTTTACTTTGATGTGCATTTTGAATTTCAGCTACACCTAGATAGACGTAAATTGATAATTAAAATGCTGTAACCAACTTATCTAATAAAATTGGCAACCAGCCACTATTTTGTTGACTATGAGAAAGTTTAAATTTATGTTAATTTTTAGGGTCTGATAGAATATTTCATGTGTATTACAGTGGTATTCATATGCTATGTCTCTAAACTTTATTTTCAAAAGCTCAAGGCCCAAATACAAACTTCTCTGGAATAAATGTGGTGTTTTATTTTCTGGATTATGAAGTGAACACATCTTCACTAATACTATTTCTTTACCCAGTGCCTTTGATCTCCAACCATGTTTATATGAAAATACTTTTACACACATGCATATACACACAACACATGCACACAAAAGAAAATGAAATGCTACTTTGTCATAATAGGCATACGATTAGAATATCCTTTTAAAACTTGATATATCAACTACCAGTAGGAAATATATCAGGTAGGTACATCACCAACCAGCTCCACATATTGCCTATGTTTATTTTCTACCATTTTTAATAAAACAAGTCTGTTAATCTTAGGAAAATTACTAAAGTAATATTTTTGCCCTGACACCATTAGTCACAATGCCATGAAATAACTGTCAGTTTTAATTGTTTTCTACTCAGTGTACAGTTGGGACTATAGCAATATAAAATTCTCAAATTATTTGAGGTTTTTAAAAAATGCATCGTCTTCATATCTCAAAATCTAGTTTCAAAACAGTAAAAGGAAAATGATTTAAAGCCTTAATGCTATTGCTCAGTGCATGTAATAAAAGTTAATATAGAAAGTTAATGTTCATAAACACTTGAACATCTTTAAGTATATTCATTTCTTTAACTTCCAAAATGAACTTTAAAGCCAAAGGTATAAGAATCTTGAATTTCCTTGCTTTTTTTTTTTTTTTCCTCAAAGATTCCTTTTAGGCTTACTTTGGTGCTCAGGATCTCCAATTACACATGTAGTCATTCATTTCCACTTTCCGTAAAGATGATTTCCCCAGTAATGGTATTTGACTAAGTTGCTCCAGAGTCTTAGGGTGCAACCCACAGTTAGTAAGCTCCTTATGAACAACTTCCTGTGGAAATAATGTATATGTCGTTAAAAAGCACGTTTTCTCTGAAACTTGATTTTAAATAATTACCATGAGAATTTTGACAGATGGCCCATTTGTGTAATTAATCGTATATACAGAAGTCAATCCTAAGAATTTGTATACAGTAATAAAGTCTTAAAATATTAAATGTTATTTTTATAGGAAAATATGGTTAAGTAAATACCCATAGTACATAAAACTACAAAAGAATCTGCACTATTATTAACCTTTGAGTCAGAGCAATGGTAAAATTCATCTTCAAGTTTTGAAAGTTCTTAGTCATCATTAGTAGCCTAAATTCAAAAAATTTACCCACAAAAATTACATGTAGACATGATTTTTCCTTTTTGCAATTCTTAATTAGCAGTCTCACAACTTTAAACAAATTCAGCTCACTATAAATTATTTCCTTCAGTTAGAGGAAATTACCTATAATGAAAATGGTCTGTTGATAGGGGTGTACTTACTTTATCCAGTATTTTTTCCAGTGGCAGGCGGATATTGAATACAGCTGTTGGCTCATGTGGATATAGTCCTGCAGAGAATGACCCACTCTGTGATGATTTGAGTAGCATGGTCATAGAGTGTAGAGCATGAGGCATGATTGGACCTGTGATCTCCATACTAAATTGATCTTTGTATCCAGAAAGAGCTTGTGTCTTTACATTAATACTTCGTGCCTTCATAAGAAAAAAAAGGGAAATTACGATCACCATCTCTCAAGCATTTGTTCCTTAGAAGTGCACTCAAAAACATTTTCATTTGGGGTTTCTTCTCTAATAATTATGGAAAATAATTTTCAAGACATCAATACATTATTATGAGTAAAAATGTTTAGTAAATTTTCAGTATCTCCAGTATCCTCTGTATGAGATTTCCAATACATTTTTTTTTCATATAGCATTTTATCTAATTATTTACTTATTGACAATATAGAATACTGGGGAAAATCAATTCTATTGCTGTTAAGAGAATATATATTTCAATACAGATATACATTTTTTTTTTTTCATTTAACCAATGATCCAGTTTCTGAGATCTATGACATGACATTCTTGACTATGTCTTTGCCTTGGTGAATAAATGAGATTAACTGTCCTTAAATGGCAAGAAAGGAGACTAAGGGAGTGGGGTTGTGGCTCACTGGTAGAGCCCTTGCTTAGCATGTGCGAGGCACTGGGTTCGACTCTCAGCACCACATATAAATAAAGGTTCATCAACAACTAATTTTTTTTTTTTTTTAAAAAGGTTAAAACCAAAATGTGTTTACTGTCAATTATACTTTATTCATTAAAAGTTTTCATATAATTCAAGTAAAATCAATGTCATAAATTTTCAGGTATTTCTTTGATATATATAACTGTTATATCAAAGACTTTTTTACAGGGAGAAAAACAAAACACATGTTAAGTACAACACTGCTAGGAGTTATTTTTTAAAGACAAAGAATTTATCATATTGGAGCTGGGCACAGTGGCACATGCCTGTAATCCCAGCAACTCAGGAGGCTGAGACAGGAGAATCCTGAGTTCAAAGGCAGCCTCAGCAACAGTTAGGCACTAAGCAACTCGGTGAGAACCTGTCTCTAAATAAAATACAAAATAGGGCTGGGAGTGCGGTTCAGTGGTTGAGTACTCCTGAGACTGGCTGAGGCAGAAGGATCACGAGTTCAAAGCCAGCCTCAGCAGAAGCAAGGTGCTAAGCAACTCAGACCTTGTCTCTAAATAAAACACAAAATAGGGCTGAGGATGTGGCTCAATGGCCCTAGAGTTAAATCCCTGGTACCCACTCATCCCCCGCAAAAAGTATGACAGTAGGGCTGTGATTGTGCCTCAGTGGTAGAGAGTTTGCCTAGCATGTATGAAGAACGGGGTTTGCTCCGTAGCACCAGATAGCAATAAATAAAGGTACTGTGTTCATCTACAATTTAAACAATTTTAAAAAGAATCGTATCTTCAAAAAGTTCCTCTTAGAAGGTAGGTTATAGGAATTCGTGAAGTGTATAATTTCTTTTAATTACCTTAAGCATTTGCATTGTGGCACCTCGGAAAGCTACAGGGGATAAAAGGGTTGGTGGAAGTCCTGCCTGTGCACCTGAGGTAGCAACTAAACTCTTGCAGTTGATCAAAAAGTTCAGCAGTGTAAAGGTGTTGATTCCTTTCACCAACACAACAGACTCAGGTCTGTGGTCCATTTGCACTTCATGTTTCTCTTTACGGCTGAAGATGACAATCAAGGAAATTACAAAAGCAAATCCCACACCAATGGGAAAATAGTTACCTTCATTCTTAATCACCTGTGACCCATTTTCCCAAACAAAATGAGAACGTTACCACTTCCTCTTCACTGCTTTCATAAGTTTGAAATCCACTTAACGTTGGCCACTTCAATTTGCTAGAAACTGGTAACTGATAAAAACTGAATTCATTCTCTAGTCAAAAACTTCTCCCACATACTTAGCCAACATGAAATGTTTTCACTTAAAAATCATTTAATAGTTCAGAGTTTATTGATATCTAGGGTCCTGTGTCTTAATGTCATAATGGAGAGTTAGATTTAATATGATCTAAAGATAACTTAAGATTAGTTATTTTAAACTCCCAATGTTAAACTGCTCATAATTTAGTAAAAATTAGTTGTAATTAAAAGGATACAGCTTGATAGAGTGTATATCTGGCTTTTTAATTTTATCTTGTACACCCATCTCTTCCAGCCAAGAAAAACTCTCTTCTTCATCTTCATCACTTATTGCTTGCTCCCTATGAAATTGCTACAGTTAGAGTTCCTTATTTAACAAACCTGTTACTTTTACAAATCTATTTCACTAACCCATAGTCACTGGACTATGTAAAAGCTTATTGTAATCACATACTCCCCAAGTCCCATGCTTGTTCCATGAGCTTTCTTCTTTTGGTCATTTTCTTCTATTAAAGGCAAAGAAAATTCAATACCTGTATGAAAAAAACAAGTCAGTTTCTTCAAACTTTGACAGTAGTCCACAACACACAGACATATGCACACATGTCCTTGAAACAAAAGGCTCAGAAAAACAATGTTACTACATGTGATACTTTTTCATAAGTTATACTGTGTTACAGTTCACTTTTTAAGTGTTGATTAAATCTACTAAACAGATCTCATGATTACTGATAGGCTGACCAGTTTAAAAATGAAGTTATTGAGATGGTGGAATGAGATGGACATCATTACCCTAAGTACATGTAGGAAGATACGAATGGTGAGACTCTGTGTACAACTGGAGATATGAAAAATTGTGCTCTTTTTGTGTACTATGAATTGAAATGCATTCTGCTATCATATATAACAAATCAGAATAAATTAATAAATTTTTTAAAAATGAAGTTTTTCAGGAGGTAGATAATTTAAATGTAGTATGAAAGAATTTCTAGAAGAGTATATTAAGATGGTAACTTTGTGGCCCAATTGTGCTAAAGTTTTACTTAGGAGATTAGAGAAGGGTACACTATTAACTCAAAGTTATGTGAAATGGACAGCTTATTCAATTGCAGGAAAAAAAAATGTTTCTTCAAATAATACTAGTAATTAAATGTTAAAGAAATTCAAATTGTAGCTTTTAAAATTTTATATATATAAATGTTTACTATATATTAAGTGCAGTATAGTATCCCTACTGCAAATCTAAACTTTTACCTTCATTTTTCATAGCTTCTCTTAAACCTCTAGTTGTAGGAGATATTAGAGCTGTTATCACATTACTTCCTGCGAATCCTGCTGCTCGGAACAGCACAGTAAACTGATAGGTACAAACGTAGAAATAGGGGCAAAGTTTTGTCTTCAGCAGGTTATACAGAGAAGTAAAGCTCACAGACCTATAAAGCAAAAGAATTTTCCTTAGATATTATTAAAACATTTACTTAAATGTTTAAGGTTTTGTATAGTTTGGTCTGACACCTTGCTTAAAACAAATGTTTTAGTTTCTGGTTTGAAATTTTGCAGTTAGGTACAATTTGGTTTTAAAAAACTAGAATTAAGGGGCTGGGATTGTGGCTCAGAGGTAGAGTGCTTGCCTTGCACACATGAGGCAATGGTTTCAATCCTCAGCTCCACTTAAAATAAATAAGTAAAATAAAGGTACTGTGTTCATGTTCAATGAAGAAAAATTAAAGATTGAAATAACAGGAACTCACGGATAACTTCTTAATACTTTAATAGTGTTTATCACTTAAATGCTACCCTTTTTCTTAACAAAACTTAATTGAGCTGTCATGCATACCTATAATTCCAGAACTTGGGAGATTGAGGCAGGAGGATCTCAAGGCCAGCCTCAGCAACTTTGTGATATCCTGTCAAAGAATAAAAAGGGCTGGCGGGTGGGAGTGTAACTCAGTGACAGAGCACTCCTGGGTCCAACCCCTACTACCAGACCAAAAACAAAACAAAACAAAACAAAAAAATAACCTTAATTGATTGATAACTAGCTGTTAAGTTTCTCTTAGCAACTTATGCTAATGAGAAGAGCAGCAGCCACTGATAAGTAACATTAAATAATTATTCCTGTCTGTATTTATTGTATGTATGTATATATATACATTTTTTTCATATTTTTATAAAGAGTGATAAGAGCTAAAAGAAGCAAACAGTTTAAATGTTTGGTTATTAAAATTCAGGGCAGTGAGATCCTTCTACCAGTCTATATTTCCATAAGGAAAGGATACCGCTAAAATAAAAATTCACCACTGAATTGCACAAGTTTTGTTTTGAACTAATCTTACCAGTCACTCATTAAAATGTGTTGCATTGTTTCATCATTTGACCAAGGAATTGTCTTTCCAGCCATTTTTCTATCAGCTCCAATACGAGGGAAGAGTGGTAGCCAAGACAAGGCCGGGTGGAGCCAATAGATAAGGCTCTGCTGGAAGGCACAACGGAGCTCAGTGGAGAGTTTAGGATCCTAAAATCCAGAAGGGATAGGGCGTCACTTTTGACCCATGAGAAGTACAGAATTTCACCAGAGACAATGTGTATCAAACATTTAATCTACGAAGTTTGATTGCTTTTTATGGAAAAGCATTACTGTTACAGGGGCTGAAATATAGTTTATCTTTGGCAAACCTTTCTGTCGAGCAATTAGTCTGCTAAACATATCAGAAGGAACACACAAATAACACAGATGGCAACATTCTCCTGTTTCTACTACCCTTAAAAACAAAAACTGTATTTTCTTTCATAAGCAGGAGAAGTATGTTTGTATAGAGAGCACTATGCTATACATAATCCCTGTACCCCACAGAAACACTTTCAAAAATAGTCAGTGTACACTGGAAATGCATATGACAATCCTCCTGATTTATTGAAACAGATATACAAAGTTTTAAGTAATTCTTTTTAACTTAGTTTGAGTTGATGAGCTGCTTCGAAGCAATAAAATTGTATTTCTCTAGAACCACTCTAGAACTCTAAATTTACAATAGACCATTACCTAGGTAGTGATATCAGTGCATATCTAAAAAGACTATATATTCTATACAAGAAAACCAGTAAAATCCACTGCTCTTGTAACCTAGTCAATTGCTTTTCACTTCCTTTTATTTTCTCTCCAAAAAAAGCATTAGAAAAGAATGGTTTGATGCCTCTACCACTGATTAATTCTCAGGACAGGTTTCTCTATTTAATGGGCTATTATACAATCTCTCAAAAATGTGTATGAAAGCACCATTTGGAAGGTACAAAATTCCCCAACTCTTTTTATCTTTAGATATCAGAAGAAAAACTTAATGGGAAGAAATCTCTCTGATATTTTACAGAAGCATTTTTAAAATACTTTATTGGCTACTTTAAAACAAAGTTATTTTATTTCAGAATTACCTTTATACTTTGAGGCAAAGTAACTTCTGTTGCTCTACAATGCTGAACAAGACCTTGAGCCTCCTCTTGTGCTTTCAGATGATCTGCCCAGGTAAAGGGTTGAGAAGAGGTGACAAGGAGTCGGGTTTTAATACTCCAGTCCACAGGTAACTCAGTATTTTCTGAGAATGGAGTATCCAATTCAGAGAAAGATATGTGTGAAGCCTTTTAAAAGAAAACGAAAACACAAAGATCTGTAGAGTTTCAAGAAAAACTCTTTAATCTAAATATTTTATTAATTAACATATCTACAGTCTCTGAATAGCAAAATTATATAAACTGTATACTAAATATCATTAAAAATACACTACACACTGAAAAATTCTGGAAAGTGCTATATTGACCTATTAATAGTAGTTTTCTCTAAGAAACAAAAATGTGTTGTTGGAATGGAATGGAACTTATTTCATTTTTTAGTTTTTACTAAAAAGAACACTTATATGGTACTACAGATGTTGCTATCAAAGTAGAAATCTTCCCAATGTCTGATAAAGTACCTAAAGCCTTTGAATCTCTGGAACTTAGGCTAAGCTGCTCTTCCTGCAGGTAACTTTAGGTAGGTCCCTTAAAGGCCATATTTCAGAATCATTTTCTGATCTCAAAAATCTACCATTAACCTGTTTTGCGGTCTTTTCAAGTCAACATTATCTACAGTACAAGAATTCTTGTAGATAAGGTATTGTGTGGAGGTAACCAGAGGATTTGTTTGAAGATTTAGTAAAGGATCAAGTTGAATTAGTAGCTTAGTATGGAGGGGTTCCTCTGAGTGATAAGCTCAAGAAAGAAGAGTGTTAAAAAACTGATGGGGGTAAAGGGCAACCAACAACTCTCATCCACTATGCCTACTTTAATTCTGGTGACCATTACAGCAATACTTACTATAACATACCAAGTCCTTTATCTTGGCTGATGCCATCTTTTTAACTTTGGTACAAAGATAATCACTTTCAAGTATCTCTGCAAAACTATTTTTCAAGCAAAATGCTTCTGAGGATGCATTTATAAAAACATACATTCTAATGATATTTAAAAAGTATTACCTGGGATAGTTCCGTAGCTGTTGTTCTTTCAGATAACGTCTCTTCCCATAGCATATCATTTTCTTGATTGGTATCTGAAAACTGAGGATAAGAAAATTGTCCTTTTAAAACTTAAATAATGCTAAAATTTGCTTTGAATGGGTACAGAGGCTCACCTGGCAAACCACCTTCTCAGTAAATGCCAGTGCACACAAATTTATATACACTCCATTCAATCCTATCAGTTTTTTCACTTTGGGTCTGAACTTTAACATTAAAATTAATAGGGAAAAAGGCCAGTTTTGTGCATTTAATAACTGACATACAAACTTTAAGCTAAAAGACCCAAAAGGCTTCAGATTAAGACAAATGCTCGTGAATTCTTAACAGATTTATCCTCACTATTCCTCCATCCCGCGTAGTTTTGTGTGCGAGAGAAGCACCGTGCCGTCCAAGCTGCCCTCCAGGACCGGTTCTAAGGCTTTCTTGCGCGCTCTCGCAGTTTACGTCCACGCTGGAGCAGAGGCGCCGCACCTGGGGCAGCCTCCACAAACCCCGTCTTTCAAGAGCATCGGCCCCCGAGGCTCAGAGCACCCTCAGGCCACAGGCGATAGAAACTCTGCGCGCCCATTTCTCTGCCCCGAACGTTAGAACTTCCCATCCCTAATTCACAGCTGACCCCACCAGAAAAGATGACAGCCCCTCGCCTGGCAGACACGGAGACACTCACCGAGCTCGGCGCCTCCGGGTGGCTGCGGGGCAGCCCGTCCGAGGCCTCCGCGGCGACCCGCAGCCGGTTGTCCAGGCGGGCGAAAGGGTTCCTGCGGGCCGCGGTCGGACCGCCGATTCTGCCGGCAGCGGCCGGGAAGGGGCGGAGGAGCAGCCCGGCCGCCAAGGCGGCGCGGCGAGGCGTCGGCTCCCGCAGCTCGAGGGGGCTGGAGGCGGCGGCCTTCTGGCTCCGGGACCTTCTCCTTCGGAGCCGCACTATCTCCGGCGGCCTTTTGAAGCTGGGCGAGTAGCCGGGTACCGAAAAGGCCATGACGCGAAGCGGCTGAGGCCGACCGACCGCCCAGCAAGCACTTCCCGCGCGCCGCGGCCCCGCCCCCGACGTGGCCCCGCCCCCGCGCGCCGCCGCGGGACGTGCGCGGCAGGCAGGCCTCCCGCGAGGTCCCGCCCCCGGCTGCGTTCCTCAGGGAGCTCCAGCCAGGTTCTGGGCTGTGGTCCTGTCGTGAGACGAGGCGACTGCGGGCAGCACTTGGCCCAGGGCAGGTGTGCACTACCCCACTGGGCATCGAAATGGCTGAACGCTACTCAAGTCTGCAGTAGGGAAGTCATCACCAGGGGTAGCGGTCTGGCTCTGGGGCCGCTGTGATGGGCTGCTGCGTCCATAGAGGTGGTGACAGGGCCAGCGCCTACCCCATGCCCTCCTTCCCCAACAGAGAACTCAGAAAACAGCACACTTCAAGCTCAGTACCCTTTTCCCAAGGCCAGGCAGTCCCAGCCCTTCACGCAAATTCTCCACAGCTCCCACAGGACAAGTTCCTGTGATCCTTGTTCCTGAAGAAACTCGAAATGAATGAATATTTCAAAACAAAATTCAAGTGTATATGAGTTAGATACTTTTGAGACCTGAAAATATATTGAAAAACTTGAATTTTGACAGCACAGAAAGGCTTGTTAAGTTGTTTAAAATGGAATTAATACATAATTAATAGCATTACTTTCACAGTATAACAAGGCCTGTAACAGACTCAGTAGAATGGTGTGGATTTTGCTGAAAGCAGAAGTTTTTCCCATTAGAAGAATTTTATAGGAGAGGAAAATGTGTGGGAAAAAAAAAAAAAAAAAAACTAAAAATGGCTTCCAGAGTACCCCCTTCAAATGTTATAGAATTATCTTGGATCACCTGCACAATAAATTGGAAAATATTTTTCAAATATGTCAAATAACCAAACATCTTGTGAACCAGAAAACATGCTTAAACACTGAACAACTTGCTTATATCTTCCTTGATTTATCCCAATTTCCAAGGAAAACTCTGGCTTCAAATACTGTGATGGTTCATCCAGCTGAGGTCTGAGAAAGAAGAAGATTAAAATTGAACAACTTGCTTTTTTCTTCCTTGATTTTTTTGAACAACTTCCATGGAAACTTTTGCCTCGTACAGTGGAATAGGTTCATCCAACTGAGGTCTGGAGAGAAAAATTATTACAAACGTCACAAATGTTCAGAACACACTGGACAATAGTTGACAGTTTCCTTAGTTTAGCTATATTATTTTAAAATAGGTCAAACTTGTCCATTAGTATTCCACTGTTAAAATTGGTTAAATTTTCAAGGGGAAAAATACCTTCTTTATCCATTCTAAGTGGTAAACTGATTCAACTTAAACATATTGTATTTTTCCCTCTTTTCAAGCTATGGATTATTTGGGAGGGGTGATGAGAAAATGCAAAGAGTGAAGTACAGAAAGGAACAGAAGGCAGGAAACTCATAGGACATTTCTATCTTCGGGTAAACTTACTGGTATAACACCAGATATACTTTGAGAAATATTAAGCGGTAAATGTTTATCTAAACTAAATAAGATATGGAGGCAACAGGTATACTGCAAAAGCTGAAACAAAAACATTATCTCCTGGAGAATAGAAAAATAAAAATGATTTGGCACTTTAGCATACCTAAAAACACCAGCTGATAACTTCTCCATCACATCTTTTAAAATGCGTAGCTGGAAGGATTGTTAAGGTGGCAACATTAAAGAGAAAGGACTAAAAACATTCAATAGGCTGAAGAAACTAGGCAGGTCAGTTCTTTTTCAAGTTTTGCACTCTCAGAAATTCAAAATGTTGTTACAGAAATTCTGTAAGCTGTCAAGTTTACCTGTAAAACAGGAATGATTTGAGAGAGTTGGTATTACTAAGTCTAAATTTCTAAGTACAGGTGGGAAGAGCAGCAAGCCTAAGGGATGACCACTTTTATACCAATGAATGAAGGCAGAATGATGTATTTAGCACTTACTTTTTACATCTTACATCTGGTTGGTAACAGACCAAAGTATGTGTGATATATGTCACTAACAGAATCAAAATTATGTAAAATGAAAAAATCTTTTTTGGGAACTTAAGTGAAATCATAATATTGAGATCAAAACTATGTGATTGCTAATACTGAAGAATTATTTAAGGCATAGAATCGAAAAGCTGAAAGGAGTTGTCTATGTTAAATCAAGCAACAACAAGCTTATGTGAAGTGATTGAGGGGCCTCTGTACAAGTGAGAACTAAAGACTGATTCAGGACTTTAGAAAACATAAATTAGAAAATATGATCATAAGTCCTTTTAAAAGAGGAATGACCTAAAGAACATTAATTCATATATTCACATCCCTGCAAATGTCTTTAGACTTCTGTTACTGAAATTGCTGGGTGCATTGGCTCATGTCTGTAATCCCAGAGATTCAGGATGCTGAGGCAAGGCCTTGTCTCAAAAAAACAGAGTCTGTAGGATGTAGTTCAGTGATAGAGTGTCCTTGGATACAATATCCAGTACTACCAAACAAACAAAAGAAAAATAAATTGTTGTGTGTGTGTGTGTGCGTGTATGTGTATATATATATATATATATATATACACACACACATATAGATGCCCTATGACTTATGATGGGATTTTGTCCCAATAAATCCACTCTAATCTAAACATATCATAAATCAAAAGTACATTTAATAATAACCTACCAAATATCCTGTTTAGCAACACAGTACTGCAGAGTATTGGTTGTTTCTCCTCATGATCTTGCAGCTGACTGGAAGATACATCTTGTTGTTGCTGCCCAGCATTGCAAGAAAATGCAGTGTATTGTACTGCATATGGCTAGCCCAGGAAAAGGTAAAAATTCAAAGTACAGGGCTGGGGCTGGGGCTGAGTGGTAGAGCGCCTGCCTTGCACAAGTGAGGCACTGGGTTCGATCCTCAGCACCACATAAAAACAAACGAAATGGAGGTATTTTATCCATCTACAACTAAAAAATAAAAAAAAACATTAAAATAAATTCAAAGTACAGAACTGGAGTTGTAGCTCAGTAGTAGAGCGCTTGCCTAGCATGTGTGTGAGGCACTGGATTCCATTCTCAGCACCACATATAAATAAGTAAATAAATAAAGCCCATTGACAACTAAAAAAATTTTTTAAAATTCAAAGTATGTTTTCTATTGAATGCATATTGCTTTGGCAACATAAAGTAAAAAATAACATAAAGTAAAAAAATCTTAAGATGAACCATCATTGAGTTGGAGACGGTCTGTATAGAGCATATATTTTTGATTTTGGAAAATTTAACATTATTTCATATAAACATGTCATATTTCAACCTGATCCAGGGATTTGCAAATAAGTTAAAATGTTCTCATCATAGATAGAAGTGGTTTGAGAGAATTAACACAGGAAAAACAGTCAACTTTGATTCTCACATGTAAGATTTAAAACACGCTAACTAATGTTATTTGCTTTTTGTGGATGGGTACTAGGGATTGAACCCATGAAATCACATCTCCTACCTTTTTATATATTTTTTGAGACAAGGTCTTCATAAGTTGCTTAAGACCTCCCTAAGTTGCTGAGGCTGACTTTTGAATTTGTGATCCTCGTGCCTCAGATTCCCGAGCCACTAGATTAGGTGGATGGTACCATGCTACTACTATTCGTAATAGTTATATAATATTCTCTATTGTTCATATCTTATGTTATCCTAGATAATTGTGATGCTGGACGTAATTTTTAAAATAAGGAAATAAAAAATTTATTAGAAAAATATTTAATCAAAATATTTTAGACTACTATATTTACTATAGGAAAGAGTTCTGAAATCTCCTTAACATGCAATACATTCAGTATCCTTATTACACATTATTATTATTATTTTTTTGTTTGGGGTACTGGGATTGAATCAGGCCCTGCACATGCTAGGCAGGTTCTCTACCACTGATCTATACCCTAGCCCTAAATATTACTATTTTAAACCTGTGAAATAAATCTTTCATTACTCCTAGAAGGGGCTGACCTCTCTACACATCACACACGTATAACTATGCACATTTGACAAAGGTAATGTATGGTGTTCAGTGGAGACAAATGTAAAGGTATGTAAATCTCTTCACACAAAAGTTATCTATCATAATAATGAGGATCTTTTTATCCAATACATTGAAACTTATTAAGTACAACCATATATAAAATGGTGATCTTTGAAATAAAAGCAATTCTTAAGAGAAATTGACTCTCCTTGAGAGAATTTTGGACTTCTTTTTGAAATTGCTTTCACCTTCCTTCTCACAGGAAAACTTCTCATTACTTTCACCAAAACGGGAATGATTTGACTTCATTCACTAGATTTGTCTCTAATGACTTTTTGTTTTGGTGGTACAAGGGATTGAACCCAGGTGCACTTTACCATTGACCTACATTCTTCGCCATTTTTTTTTTTTTTTTTGAGACAGGGTCTCATTAAATTCCTGAGGTTGGCCTCAAACTTGCAATCCCACTTTATCCTCCAGAGTAGTTGAGATTACAGGCATGCATCACCATGACCAACTGAATGATTTCTATTTTTAAAAATCCAGGTGCAGCCTCATGTGATGAAGATTTCTCAGCACTGATATTATAAAATACCAACTGTTTAGATAAGTACTGTTAATTTTTTTTGTGTGCAATGATACCTTCATCTAGGTAAGGTGTACACCTCTCAAGGCGACATGTGTAATGTCAGGTTAAAGAGAAAACCAAACCATCTTCCACATGACATTATGGTTTATTTCCGACCCTGAAAGGAGGGAGGCTTTCTGGGTGTGATTTTTTTTTTTTAATGGTGCTGGGGATTGAACCCAGGGCCTTGTGCATATGAGCCAAGCACTCTACCAACTGAGCTATATCCCCAGCCCTCTGGGTGTGATTCTTGTTCTGCCATTTGATAGCTGTGTACTTGCACATATACTAACCTCTCTATCCTTCTTCAACTGTGAAACAGAGATAATAATACTTAAATCTCACGGATTGTTTTAACATTTAAACAAATACCTGCAAGACACTTGGAACACTGTTTGGCATACTCAAGGAGAGTTAACAGATAATTATTGTTCTTATTATCATATGAAAGAATTTATAAGTAGAGTACAAAGTAAATTTCAAGCCTAAAACAAGTCAGTAGAAGAAAAGGATATAAAGATATTTTCCCTGTTGTACATTTGACAAATTCCAAATTTCATCATTAAGGAAAGCCACCGTTGCTCCCTTGAGGAAAAGGCAATGGCTATCTGGAGGATCCAACTTGACAGAATAAACAAAGATCAATCAATTACTGTGAGCCTAAGAGCAGAAGGATGATTAGTAGCATAGCTAGAAAAAAATTAAATAATGTCCAAATTACAAAAACTCAGTAAACTTTAATAATATGTAAACTATAATGTTGGAGTAATGTTTTATTTTCAATTTTATGGTCCCAAATGATGAAGAAACAGCAAGGTGTATAGGTTAGATGAAGGACCAATCTAGAATCCTAGTACTGAAGTGGCTGAGGTATTACCAGTCACCTTCATAAGAATAGTAGAAAGTCAAGATTGGCATATGAGAATTATGGTATTGGCATATCACCCATTACATGTTAATTTGAATTCTACAGAAAAACATTTGGAAAATAACTTATTGATACATTTAAACAGTACTTCCAATTTAAATAATTAGGAAGTTGTATAATTTTATACAGAAATTTTTAAGTATATGTCAGTGATATTTGTTACTAAGAAAAGAGTAGTTTTTAATTTTTTTAAAAATTATTTTGGGGATTGAACACAAGGGCAATTTACCACTGAGTTACATCCCTAGCACTTTTATTTTTTATTGAAAACAGGGTTTTGCTAAGTTGCTTAGTGCCTAAATTGCTGAGGCTGTCCTTGAACCTGTGATCATCCTGCCTCAGCCTCCTAAGTTACTGTGATTACAGGCATGTGCCACTGTGCCCAGAAATCAAGTTTTTTTCTGGAATGGTGGGGATTGAACCTAGGGCCTTAAGCATGCAAGGCAAGCACTCTACCACTGAACTACATCCTCAGTCCTGAAATACAATTTAAAATTCAGAAGTCACTACTTTCAAATAACTAAATAAAATTATAATTCATTCTAACTGAAGAATTCTCATACTAGGCATTATTTTAACATTTTGGCCAACATGTATTTAACATAAAAAACAAACTACATTTCTTTAAACATAGGGTATAATTCAGAATTTGTATTAATTTAGCCATACCTTGCCTCAAACAAGATTTAGGCATTATTCTTTTTAATTACATTCCTTTGTTCTAACAGTAATGCTTTATTGTTTCTGATAATACCTGAAGGCTTTCTTCTCTTGTTATCCAATGGCCTCCAACACCAAGAAGCGTGATGATATCATGTTTATGTGGTAGTAGTTGTGATTTTATAGCTGGTTCATCATCTTTACTATATAATCTCACTTGTAAATGAATACAGAGAGAGAGAAAAGAGACACTTTATAATAATCTGACAAAAACTTGTTGTTCAAAAAGTTTTACTTTTTAATATGGTAATGTGGAGGCATTTTTCCTAGAACAAGGCAACACACAGTACATTCAGATACCTTAAATATACCTTTCATATTGAACATATTTATAAGATTTATTCTATATTTCATTATAAATGAAATAGTATGTTTGCATTTGGAAACTAAGGTAATATATAACATAATATATAGTTAAGTCTTGTAATGAATTAATTATAACAATGATGGCTTAAAACAGTGGGATGAGCTGCTTTCTAATTAAAGCATTCAGATTCAAAATAGTCATATGAGTTACTTGCAAATCTTGAAATTTAAATCTTGAAAATGGTTTAAGAAAAACAAAACCCACACATAATGGCCAAGGTGGTATTCACAACGAGGCACTGGGTTCAATTCTTAGCACCATATATTATATATATAAAAAAAAAGTCCATTGACAATTTAAAAAAATTAAAAAATATATATACATATATATGTGTGTGTGTGTGTGTGTGTGTGTGTATATATATATATACAGAAGTGTACAGATTAGGTGTTGAATAGATATTGGTTAAACTAAGAAAGTTCAAGAAGAGAGAAAACTTAAGAAACTTCTATATGTTTTCCAAATAAACACCACAGAAATCAACCATCCAAATAGAGGGCAGCCACATATAGCAGAAATGACTGCAAACAGACATCTGGATAATAATGTGTACTATATGGGACCAAATGAGATCACAGAAATAGGTTTCTTACAGAGATTTGTCTTATGTTACTTAAACTTCAATGTCTATCCTTTCAGATACACAGTGATTACAATGGAATAATATGAGGAAACTCCGATTTATTTTACTTTATTTTTAAAAAGTATTTTTTTTAGTGGTAGATGGACAAATATCTTTATTTATTTATTCATTTTTATGTGGTGCTGAGGATCAAATCCAGGGCCTCACACTTGTGAGGCAAGCACTCTATCACTGAGCTATAGTTCCAGTCCAGGAAGCTCCAATTTAAACAGACAAGTCTTTAGTTAAAAAAAAAAAGGCCTGGAATTAAACATCCAATTTAATAAATGCATTAACAATTATTCCCTGTTTTTTTTAATTTTCCCCTGAAATTCACCAAACTGAAAAAAACTAAATAGGCTACTGATTTTGTAGGTACCAACCTCCAGCATCTAGAACAATATCTACTCCCAGGCCTCCTGTTTCTTCCAAACAGCTTTCAGCAACATCAACCTTCCCATTCGATACATCAATCACTCGGGCTGTAAAGGACAGGAAATCAGGCAACTGTATTATTCTTTTTTTTTTTTTAATTTTTTAAAAAAATTTTATTTATTAGCTGTTCAAAACATTTTTTTTTAATTATTATTAGTTGTTCAAAACAAATTGTATTATTCTGTATGTGATCAACACAAGGCAATCAGGGGGAGGAAAAAAAATATGTTTTCTGAAATGAGTTAAGCAGTTTAATTATTAAATATTAAATTTAAAGGGGAAAATTATATTAAATTACATTTTCCCATTGAGCCTAATTTTGATAAGGTTCAATTCTAAATGAAGGGACTGATAAATTCAGTAAAATAAAAATATGAGCATTTTGTGGATAAAGTAGTCCAAGGATGGTCTGTGGAGGCAGAAGATTGCTCTCAATAGCTTAGTTTACGTTACTAGAACTGAGAATCTGAAAACACAGAGATATATATGTATCATTCATAATACAATATGAATTGGAAGAGCAAGCAGTTTCTTAAATATGTTTAGATTTAATCATTTTTAAAGTTCAGTAATACAAAAGAATAGTTGTTCAACATGGTACTTATCTACTAGAAGCTGTTTTATCCTTTCTCAGTCACAGAACCCCTCCCCTTGCTACCCAAAATGGAGAAAAGTCCTGAAGGTAAGGAAAAGGAACATGATTATTTTTATCTGTTAGTGAAAATTAACTAATCTTAACTGGTTACTTTAAAAGTATTATATTAGTAGAAAAAATAATTATAGGGCTGGGGTTATGGCTCAGTGGTAGAGTGCTCGCTTAGCATGTGCAAGGCCCTGGGTTTAATCCTCAGCACCACATGAAAAGAAATAAGTAAAATAAAGATATTAAAAATAGAGAAAAAATAATTATATTTCTATATAATAGAACAATCAGAACTTGAACTAGCAAACAAAGAAATGTTTATATTGCAGTTTTAAAATTTTTATTTCTATTTTTTGTGGTACTTTGGATTGAATCCAGGACTTGGTGCATGCCAGGCAAATGCTCTACCCTGAGCAACATCCCAGACCCACCTATAAATATTTTCAACACCTTGTTGAAGAGAATTACTCTCAAAGATGTTCAGATTAGAGGAACAGTTGAACAGTAATCTGAGATTTGGGGAATGGGATAGAAGACATAAGGGAAAGATGACTGAAATAACCTCGGAAGGGTAGAATTAACCAATAAGAAACCTTTCCCTTCAATAATACCATTTGCTTTCTTTCTACATTCTATTTTCTATTTCCTTCATTCCATTTTTTTTTTTTTTTTTTTGTAGTGTAGAGAGTGAAGCTAGGTTTTCAGGCATGCTAGGCAAGTGATCTAACACTGAGCTACATCCCCAGTCTTCCATTAAACTTTTGAATCTATTCTTCTTCCTCTTCTCCTTCAGCCCCTTTATTGCCTCCCTTCCATTTCTTGGTTATCTCTGCAGGATGCATAATGGAACAATAAAAATAACATGGGTTCTACTGTTAGATCAGGCATCAAAACCCATTCCAGTCTCTTGTCTAATTGTATAACTTGCAGAAGCTAGTTAAATTCTGAGAAGCTATTTCATGGTCATCCACCACAAGGCTGTTAAGAACTTAAGGAGGAAATGTCCACATTGTTCAATGAACATTACTTTCCTTCCTGCCTCCCTTCACTTATACTCTGTTCATCCTCGTTGCTCTTTTCCTGTTAGTTTCTCTGTTCCTATTTTCTTCCTCTCCATACTCACTGCTGTTTGAATAGGTTCAACTTTTTAATTTTTATTTATTTTTATTTAATTTTTAGGTTCAACTTTTGTAAGAGCTCACAGTCTCCACCATGTCCTGCTCACCTTAAACTATATCTGACTTGTGTTTCTATGTGCATGGATCATTTGTCTCACAGAAAATAGACAACTTTAAGGACACATGATGGGGTAAAATAGGTTGAGAAATACAGAGTGGTGCAAAATATATTGATTTATTGACTGAAACCAAAGAAACAACAGGTATTTCTTAAGTGTGTCAAAGTTCACTTAATAATGCAAACTTGGGTAAGTTGGTAAGACAAAAATTTAAAAAAAATTGAAAGATATAATTATTTAATTTTAAATAATTAAAGCTATCACTTAAGTAAATTTGGAATCAGCACATATTACTTTTTAGCTGTTAGTGCATTTTAAAATTGACTTTCATTTGTGATTTTGTACTTCATTTTATCAGTGCAGTTTTTATTTCCCTGCAAAATTTCATGTTCTAAAGTCTGTGCTGAGTAATGTTACCCACCTATAGAAGACCTAAGTCTTTCAAGGCACTGCTTGTCTTCTAGGCTGTATGCTGTTGAAATCACTTTGGCTCCTCTGTGGTGTGCTAACTGAATGGCTATTGTGCCAAATGCCTGTGTGAAAACACATACATGATGGGTTAACAAATACAGGGTACAGGCCATATCCAATCTATTTATGCTATATAAAATGTATAGCATATATATTGTATACATATATAGCATACACACACACATATGTATATATGTACATGTACATACACTTTTTTTTGGTACTAGGAATTGAACCCGGGGTACTTTACATTGAGCCATATTAACAGCCCTTTTTATTTTTGAGACAGGGTCTTGCTGAGTAGCTGAGGCTGGCCTTGAATCTGTGATCTTCCTATCTCAGCTCCCCAAGTTACTGGGATTACAGGCATGCACCACTGCACCTGGCTTACTTTAATATTTTAAAACATAAATAAACAAATAAAAATTAAAAAGGGCTGGGGATGTAGCCCAAAGGTAGACTGCTCCTAAGTTCTTCCTAGGGAAACAAAAAACAAAATACCCCAAAACAAAAAATGTTATAATAAAAAGGAAAAAATGCAAATAAGATTAGTAGGCTAAACATCTGATTGATTTCTTCAGAAAGGGGAGTAGAAAAGCTGCACGAATCAAATGCTCAGGTCTGACCACTGCACATCATTTCTAGGATGGAAGGCCACATTCAGAAATGTGACCATGGAAAGAGAAAAGGAGGCTGTCAGGGCATTGTTGAAGCACCTGCAGGAATCTAGTTACCTCTCTTTGGAGACTGGAGCACTTTAAACACTCCATCTGTATTTGGACCTGTGAGGTGAGCATAGGGAAGCACTACTACCCTGATATTGGACATCAGGCTGAAGCCAATGCTGAAGACAGCTTTGCCTTTTTTCCAGAGAAAAGGAGAAGAAAATAATTTTCATCAACAGCCAAATAGAAAACTATAGATTCATCTCAAGTTTTGCAACCATTTTAGAATGTAATATTTTACATATTCTATATTTTTGGTACTGGGAATTAAACCCAGGGGTGCTTAACCATTGAGCCACATCCCCAGCTCTTTTTAGTTTGAGATAGGGTATCTCTAAGTTACTTAAGGTCTCACTAAATTGCTCAGGCTGGCCTCAAACTTGTGATCCTCCTGCCTCAGCCTCCAGAATCATTGGAATTACACATGTGTGCCACCAAGACCAGCTATTGTTTTTTTCAGTTGTAGATGGATACAACATCTTTACTTATTTATTTTTATGTGATGCTGAGGATCAAACCCTGTGCCTCACGCATGCAAGGCAAATGCTCTACCACTGAGCTACAACCCCAGCCCAAGATCAGCTATTTTACATAACCTTTTAGTGTTTATTATTATGACAGTCTATTTTTTGATGATATATGGAATACATTTAAATCAGTTTATTTTGACACTGTGTGTGATCTATCTATAAAACACCAAAACTTTATTAATGTAAGTGTAAGTATTGGTGATATGATAGATACAAAACCAGTAGGAATTCCAGACTTTGTATAACAGGAATGAATAAAAATGGCTTGGCTGGACATACAGCTCAGTGGTAGAGAGCTTACTGCACAAGGCCCTGAGTTCCATCCCCAGCATGGGGTGGGGTGGGGGGAGACTTATCTGCTTCTTTTTGTAGTTCTGGGGATGAAACCCAGGGCCCTGTACATGCAAGGAAAGCACTCTACCAACTGAGCTATGTCCCCAGCCCCTTTGTCTGCTTTTTAATATACTGGTAAATTTAAAATAATTAGAAACTAATTACACTAAATCTAACTTTTGCCTCCTATTGATAAAAGCAGTATATGGTAACAAAATGGGAGGCTGGTAAGAAATCTCACTGGTCGAAGGCCCCCGAGTTCAATCCCTGGTATTCCCCGCGCCCCGCAAAAAGAAATCTGTTATTAATCTATTGGCAAAGAATTCTATTAGCTTGTTTCTAAATATCCTAAGTCAACTTTAATCTTTTTCTTAAGGAAAACAAAACAAAACAAAACACTGACACTTACACTTGCTCCATCCATTATCAGCACAGATTTTCCAGGAGAGAGATGAGAAAGATAATGCAGGGCTGTATAAGCTCGCACTCCATCCCGAATAGCTCCAGCAGCTTCTGTCCATGTAACCTTTTCTGGTTTATGGACTATCACAAGGAATAAGAGGACATGATCCATTAGCAAGTCCTATTCGTACTGCCTTCTAGATCTATTTCTTTCTATCTCTTCAACCATGGTTCAAACCTGCTCCTGTTACTCTCTCCCCAACATTATGGTTTCCTTGTTTCCCTTCTTGCCTATGTATAATCCACTCTTAAGATAAGCATAAAGCACAGCTGCATTAATAAATGAAAAGCAAAAGGTAAATAAGCACCATCCTACTAGAGAAACACTGCATAAGGATCATCCCAACAACCTCCTCTTTCCCCACCAGAGGTCACCATTCTAACTCAATTTGGGATTCACCTTCATAAGCTTATTACTCAAGTATGCGCTTCTAAACCATCATTCATTTTTGCTTGGTTTTGAACTTTTATCTAAATAGAAGTATTCTTTGTTCTCTTGCCTTTCATGTTGAACATTATGTTTTTGGGAGACACCTTTTCTGTGCCCTTTCACTTGGGAGGTTGTGGTACTTTGGTTTTTGTTGTTTTATGGTAGTCCAATGTGTGCAAACACCTTTGGTTATCTATTCTCCAGCCAATGAACATTTGTGTTGTTTCCAGTTGTATCAGTGACAATGCTGCTAAGAATGTTCTCCTATAAAGGACATTGTTACACTATGCATGGTTTTCACTAGGATATTTACTTTGGAGTAGAAATCCCAGGTCCTATACCATATTACCTTTGACTTAGTTATACTTTTAAGTGTGCTTGTATAAATTTACTCCCTCACAGCACTGTCTTTTTGCTGTAAACTCTTCTATCAGATTTTTACATTTTTGCCAATTGTGTATAATGGTTTATAATTATGATTTAAATTTGCTTTTTTTTTTTTTTTTGACTACTGAAAAGGTTGATCCTCTGTCTACATTTGCTGGCATTTTGAAATTCTTTTTATGAAGTGACTGTCTTTGTCAAATTTTCTATCATTCTGTCTTTTTAAAAATTTATTGACTCATAGGAATTTTTAGAGTCATTTGTGCTGTAAGTATTACAAGTTGAGTCATTTGTCTAATTATGTACTATAAATATTCCAAGTGAATATTCCTTATCTGCAATACTTGGGGTCAAAAGTGTTTTGGATTTTGGAATATGTTCTTGTATTAATGAGTTATATTAAGGATGGAAATTAAGTCTAAAAATGAAATTCATTTATGTTTCACATATACCTTATACACATAGCCTGAAGGTAATTTCATAAAGTATTTTTAGTGTGTCTTTGTTTTGTCTGCAACCTGTCACATGAGGTTGGGTGCAGAATTTTTCACTTGTGGCATCATGTCAACACTCAAAAAAATCCAGATCTTGGAGCATTTTGGATTTCAGATTATTGGATGCTCAACCTGTATTTCAACCTTGTGGGTTTTCTTGAGAATCACTTTAGTGGTACCTTTGAAAATAGAAGTATTGGAATAACATTCTAACATTTCTCTGATTAAATTTATCAATGGCTTTCATTATACTTGGAAAAAAATGCAAACTCCTGATATAGTTAAAAAGTTGTGTATGATCTGATCATTAAACTGTTCCTTTATATGTTTCACTGTTTTTGTGTTCATGTTGTAAACTGTTATTTTTTCATACTACAAGCAATCCTTTCTCATTTTAATGCACTTTTTATATCTTCACTAGCTCTTTCAAATCTGTTTCCTCTAAGGGCAATAGATTCAGATGGACAAGACACAGGGAAAGCACACATCACTGCTCTAGCGATAGAATACTGCCCTCTAGTGGAGCATTCAAGCATATGTTGAAAATGTTCAGGGAATGAAAACAGCAAGAACACACTAAGTGTACATATGATAGCACATAAAGTACTTTATTTCTTATGAAACTCTTTAAGATAGGTATAATATTAAAATGTATGTATTTTGGTTTTCTCCTGTGTTCCTGGATCATAACTCCCATTGCCCTTGTTATTTCCTATATGACCAGTACAATAAGCATATCTTGTATTTGAGTTTTTGTCTTTGGTTCCTGAAGCAGCTTCAGAACAATTCAGTTTAGTAAAAGCCAATTTTTTATAATGTTGGGGTGCTTTAGCTTTAGAAAGCAAAGTCTCTGTCTCTCTTTCTCTCTGACCTTCTCTTCCCTACCTTTCCCCTACTCCCTGTTCTCTCCAAGGCAGAAAACTAGCAATCTTTTCCCCTAAGGTAAGTGAGAGAAACCAAAATTATGTTCTCTTATCTTTCTATCTTGGAGCTGGGCTGGCAATAAAGAACTTCTGTGACACATCTAGTTTGACAGGAGATATTAAGGCTTCAATTTCAGAAAGGGTCCTGCCCCACACCCAAGAGGAAGAAATGTTGCAAAGAAAGGCTAGGAAGACTTGGAAGAGACAGGCCTTGTTGGGTTTTTCTACTAAATCTATTAATATTAGGTAATGTCCTTTTTGTCCAATCTCATTTATACATGGTTGTCCATGCTTCAATCATACCCATGTGATGAAGTCCTCATAAAAAACTTAAATGGACAGGGGTTGAAGAGAGAAATCTAGATAGCTGAACATGTAACAGCTTGCAGGAAGGTGAACAAGAACTTACCCATGTGTTGGGAGGGTGGACAGCCCAATTCAACAGGTACAGAAGCTCCTAGACCTTGCTCTATGTATGTCTTCATTTGGTTCAATAAATAATAAATAATACCCTTCAAAATATCCTTTATAATAAATTGACAAACATATCTCTGCAAACCATTCTACTGAATTATTCAACCCTAAAGTTGGAACCCCAATTTGTTGCTGTCTGGCCAGAAGTTCTGAAGCCCACAACTGTGACCAGTGTCTGAAAAGAGGACAGTCTTGTGGGGCTCAATCTCTGGGATCTGATACTATCTCCAGATGTCGGCTGTAGAATCGATTGCTCTAACATTTTGAGACCATACTAGAAGTGATCTGTGTTATGGGGTATATAGTAAAAGAAATTGAGTTTGTGTTTGTTTTTTCTACCCAATAGCTATTCTCTTAATTTTCTTGATTAAGAAATGGGGTTCAGGGTAACTAAGTTGTTCAAGGCCCACATAGATAGTAAGACATGACTCTAAAGCACATCTACTCTAACAATTCATGCTCAATCTACAGTTTACCTATATGGCCTTTCTTTTGGAACACTTCCCATTGTAAGAATTGTGACTACCATATTTTATCAAAATATCAGTCATGTAGTCCTTAAAAAATACTAAAAGACAATGTTGCCAAATTTAAAGATCCTAAAATTACAAGGTTAAATGTGGGTTAATGTCAAGATTCTTGCTTTTCTGTTAGGTAGTCAACAGGTACTTATTATGTTACAAAAAATAAACAAGAGTCATGTGCAGATTAATAATAAAGTATATCAGTACTGAGAAAATTATAATTTCACTTCTTTCTTGTTTATGACCAAGTGCTAACAGAACAGTGCTGCAAATGTGTGCCAAATTTTTGTTTTATTTTGTTTGGTAGTGAAGGTTGAACCCGGGGATACTTTGCCCCTGAGCTTTTTATTTATTTATTTTTTTAATTTTGAGACAGGGTCTCGCTAAGTTGCTTAGGGCCTTACTAAGTTGTTGAGGCTGGCCTTGAACTTGAGATCCTCCTGTTTCAGCCTCCTGAATTGCTGGGAGTACAAACATGTGTCAATGTTGCCAAATTTAGAATGAAAAATAATTTTTATGTTTGACAGAATGACTTATGAACTAAAAGTAGAAAAGAGCTGGAAGAATTATTCAATTTTAAGCTCTAGCATTAATATTGTACAAAATAAGATTAACAGCACATTTGAGGAGGTTGTTTGGAACATTGTTCTTTGGTTTGATGAAAGAACAGACTTTGAGTTGAGGTGACCAAATGCTGAGCTCTCATTAAACCATCACTAGGTTAAGAATTAAAAAAGAATCTCAAATAGAGTTGTGGTAAACTGAAAATTTCCCTCTGAAAAGTTTCATGGAGCATACTGAAATTATTCCCCTTTTACAAAATGCTACAAAATGCGGGTGCTGCAAACAGAATGCAGAGGTTATCTAGTTGAGTCTCCTCATTTATGAATGTAGTCAGCAAGCCCTAGGAAGCTGCCTACAGGTGACATGCCAGTGGTCATTCCTAAAGGACCTTTTTATGGAGTTTGTACTGAGAATTGAGCACAGGGCCTTAACATGCTATGCAAGTGCTTGACCTTTTAAAATTTTATTTTGAGCTGAGCATGGTGGTGCACACCTGTAATCTCAGCTCAGGAGGCTGAGGCAGGAGGATCGCAAGTTCAAAGTCAGCCTCAGCAACAGCAAGGCACTAAGCAACTCAGTGAGATCCTGTCTCAAAATAAAATACAAATTAGAGCTGGGGATGTGGCTCAGTGGTTGAGTGTCCCCCAAGTTTAATCCTTGGTACCCACCCCTCCCCCTGCAAAAAATAAAAATTATTTTGAGACAGGATCTCACTAAATTGTTCAGCCTGGCCTCAAACTTGTGATCTTCCTGCCTTAGTCTTCTGAGTAGCTGGGATTATAGGGGGTGTGCCACCATGTCAGACTAGGGCAAGTGTTTTTTTTTTTTTTGAATAGTTGTAAATGGACAGCATGCCTTTATTTATTTTTTTATATGGTGCTAAGGATTGAACTCAGTGCCTCACACATGCCAGGCAAGTACTCTGCCACTGAGCTACAGCCTCAGCCCAGGGCAAGTGTTCTTAATTCCTTCCTGCCTCAGACTCTAAAAGTACTGTTTTGTACATTTTTAATTTCAATTAATAAGCAGGCACACTGGCGATGTAGCTCAGTGTTAGAGTACTTTAATAAAACAACAAGGACAATGACAAAAGATATTCCAAGAGAAAGAATTTACAAAATTCTGATTAAGGATATAATTTTAGAGCCAAGAAAGAAAACATTTTCATATTTCTTACCATAAGCTGTTTGTAAAACTCAAAGGTCTACACACTGTTTAGTCTGAATATGAATTTTATGAATAACAATTATAAACTAGAAGTATTGACATGACCTGCCAACAGTTATAACACATTAATAAGACTTATATGAGGTCTGGAATACTGAATTGCTACATACCCAAGTAATGTTCATGTACTCTAATCACTTCACAAAGTCCAGGGTCTTCAGAATCCAGGGGCAAAATTCCTAAAATTTAAAAAGAGATCCTTAAAGAAAACTAAAATGTATTCATTCCTAATGAACATATTTGTGTAAATTTTGTTCGGTGGAATTTTAAGGAAGGTTTCAGTAATTATCATTGTGGGGAAGGGAGAGACTTCAGAAATATGGAAGGGGACTATATATATTTTCTGGTATAAACATAGGGATACTTGTGCTGTCTCCATATTTGTCTCTTCTGTTACTTCTTGAGTGTCATAAAGATAATAGTCAATGTTATAGAGCTAAATCAGAGTCTTGGGGAAACCAGGAATTCCTGGGTAAAACTGTCTTTGATATATTTAGCTTCCTTCCTATGGTTTGGTTCCATGTAATACCTAGGTATGTTTCCAATAAAAATCTCATTTTTATTTTTGGTCTTTCCCAAAAAGCATCTGGGGTAATACAGAATTTCACTGACTTCACGGACCAAAAAAAAAAAAAAAAAAAAAAAAAGAAAATTATCAATTCTCTAGAAAAATCATATAATCTTATAAAAAGCTGAAAAAAATCTTCCTACAAATCTATTCTTTAACAGCTTAAACATGTTATAAGGGGCTGCAGTTATGGCTCAGTGGTGGAGCTCTTGCCTGGCATGTGAGGTCCTGGGTTCCATCCTCAGCATCACATAAAATTAAATAAATAAAATAAATGTATTGTGACCGTCTACAACTAAAAATCATAAATTTAAAAAAATGTAATAAGGCTAAGTAATTTTTTAAAATTTATATGCATATCTTCCATGAAAAATGGAAGTTTCAAAGACCACAAATAAAGCCATACTCTATATGTTTGTATGACTATCTAGGATACAAGTATAAATTCATATATATTTTTTGAAAAAAATATTATTACAGTAATTAAGGTTTTAAGAAAACTATATATTAATGTTTCAAGTCAATTTTTAGTTTTTCAATACTAGCAAGGGAGCTCTGTAGGACTCAAGTGAGAGTGGAGAACAGAGATTCTATAAGGCCCAGCCAGTCAGTGGTTGTCAAGCATAGGCCACACAACTTTCCTTTTCTTGAGAGACTTCAGTGTGTCCACAGACTGGGGACTGGAAAGAAAAGTACTGTACCAAGTACAGCAGCAATTATGGTTATTTTTCAGTCTAAAAAACTGCCCTATAGCCAACTATTGACAAGCTTCAAAAGTTGTGCTAATTTGGATTAAACTTCCAATTTTCTTCATTAATGGATACTTGAGAGTAAATTCCCAAACTCTTAATATTTTATGTTTTGCCATGCTGGGACTGAACCCAGGGTCTCACTCATGCCAGGCAAGCACTTTACCACTGAGCTACACCACCAGCCCAGGAAAGTATTTATCTATGAAGTAAGGTCACAATGAACATTAATAAAAAGAGAAAAAAGAAGAGATGGCAATAAAACTGATGAACTGAAAATGAACTGTGAACTAAAACTTACCAACTACTTCATCATCTGGTTGAAAGAATGATACCTTGGTTCCAACTAGAGAGAAGAAAATTAATAGTTACCATCATAAGGCTACTAAATATAATTCTTATTTAACCATTAAAACAAAGGATCCATGGGTTTATAAAAAGTCATTCATTCAAAGAAAAGGCTAAGAAGGAGGACATTATAATAGTGTGTGAAGACTCTAGGACAGAACACTTCACATCTGGATTCTCTACAGAATCTGGGGCACACAGTTACTGACAGCATAGAAAAATATATTTCTCTCTATGGTTCTCTGTCTACTAGCTAACTTTAAGGATAAAGGAGTAAAGGAAAATAATCCATCCCCTAGTTTGTATGATGATGATGATGTTTTCTACCCAACACTGACACTTTCTGGCTAATCCTTCAATTATTATTTTAGTTGCAGAATCTCAAGACACACAATGGATAATGCTGATAGGAGTCCACATGTAAAGACTACTTTATTTTGTGAAGACATTCAGAAAGTTTTTGATATTCTATAGTAATTAATTTAATTATATTTTCTTTGGCTATGCAGAGAAAAGTCAATTCATATGAATATTTTTATTCAGAGTTACAAGATAAAAAAATAGCAGTGCTGTTCGAATGCCTACTTGTACCCAGCACTTTAGCATGTTCATGCATTTAACCTTTACAACAGGCCCATGAAGTATTATTCTTCCTATTTTACACACGGGAAAACTGAGATGAAGCAGTATAATATTCTGGAAGTGGCCCCTTTAGTTGTCTCTAAGCAAAATGGCCCCAAAACTCATCTGCTGGTACCCAGCAAATAATTCCAAGCTGGTATTCCTCCTTTTGCAGTTTGCTTCTTGGGATCCCTCCTGTGCTATTACCCATCAGTATGTTTGGCTTCTGACCCATTGAATTTTTCTTTCCTTTCTGCTGCTGATCCACGTCCTCTTGAGATCACTTGGACCCATTTTTGGCCCCCTTTACACTCTTCTTTTAATTATTCCTCAACAGGTGCCTCCTGAAGGGTTCTATGTTTATATGTCTCCTCCATTTCTACACGTTCTCTGGATGAGTTTATCAAGTCTATTATTTCAAATACAATCCACATGCTGACAATCCTCAAATATAAACATTTCCAGCATGGATCCTTTACCCTTGATATTCAATTCATATAACAGATTACTGGATATCACCAGTGAGATGTTATTTAAGTACCTGGACCTCAGTAAGTATAAATCTGAACTCATCATCTTCCAGATTGGATCCTCTTCATTTATCAATTTGTGGTACCAATTCATGCCTAACTAGAATTCTCTAAGTCATTCATGGTCCTCATCTGTGTTGATTTCCCCAATTCCAATCCATTGTTAGGTCCTGCTGACTCCCTCAATATTTCTTCAGTTTGCTCCTCTTTTCTACCTCTGCTACCACCACTCAGGTGTCCCCAAAATCCCAGGCCAGGCCAGAAGCCAGGGCCGAGTAGAAGGGTTGTGGTGATGTCCAGTCCTCAGACAGGCCCCTACACTCCAGGTGCACTGACTTAAGGGTGGGGCCTTCTAAGCATCCCCTTTGATAGGTAGGCCAAGTCCTTGGGGTATCACAGGGGTGGGCCTGGTCCCCAGGATTACAGAGATTGTGAAAACACCAAAGACTGGCTCAGTCCCACACTAGCAGGTTGGAGAATACACTAGGAAGCCATGAGAATGGACCTCCTAGGAGGGGAAGGGGAGCTGTGTGGCATAGAAAGATGCCCAGGTCAGGTGAGCGGGTCCAAGAGATGCCAGGTCACTTCTTGGTGTGGTCTGCCTTGTCCAGGACAGCCATGATCAGGTGATGATAATGATGAGGGACTTGAGCAAGATGATGGGGGGTGGTGATCCACATGCCTATTTGGAAAAACCCCACAGAGCCGACTAATGGTTCCTTGGAGAAATTGAAGAGCTCACTTTCAGCACAACAGAGCCAGCCTGGAGGTGTAGTAGATTCTGAAGCACTGGATTCCCAGATAAGTTGATGATGCTTTGGACGACAGAACATGATTAAAGGCTTGAGCAGAATGTCCATTGAAAAGTGTCCAGAAGTTCGCTGAGCAGGTAGGAGGAGTAGGCCATGAGAGGACAACAGGGCATGAAGCAGAAAGTAATGATGTGAAGACAATCTGGCACAACCGAAAAGGTCAGGCATGAACAGGAAGATATTTTTTCTTGACACTGTGATGGTCTCTTGCCATCCTGGGTCCTCTCTAAAGGTACCAGCACAGAACCAGCTCCACCAGTGTGGCCTTACTCCTTGGTCCTAGAGTATCTGCTGGGACAGCTATATCCCGGTGCCCACTGCCGGCGCTCCAACCCCGGATGTTAAAATCTTGCAGCCCATAGGAGCACTGGCAAAGCAGATGTGCCCCAGATGCAGAGGGCCTCCCTGCACACCTTGGCCTTATGGGCAGCGCCTCACCTCCATGTGCCCTGCAGGCTTTCCTGCTCCATCAGCATCCCTGCTGCTCCAGCTGCACCTGGCTTCCTGGAACCTACTCTCTGCCAAGTCCTATTTTTAAGAAGGTCATTTTTGTATAATAAAAATTTACATTTGAAGGGGTGTCTATGATTTTAGTGCTAGTAAACTATTATGTCATTTCTTTTACCTTGGAAAAAAATATTTACATTTGTAAACTTACCATCCAAAACAATTCCAGCAACTTCTCTTCCAACAGGAAAGAAATCCTTTTCCATCTTCATTTCCGCCAGAAGCTAAATCATGACAGAAACTGTTAGCCTACTATTGTCATGAATAAATCCTGTTTCTCCTCACACATGAGAAAAGTCAGAACAAAGATCAAGCCACAGAAAGAGAAAATATGATTTAAGTTTTGAAATTAAAACAAACAAAATAGATTTCTTTGTAGCATAGGAAACCAAGAATTTGATGAGTAAGTAGTTGATATATAGGACTTTCACATAGTATTATTATTCAAATAACCATTAATGCTTCTGTTTAACATCTTTATTTTACCACGTATGAAGGGAAATTAAGGCCCAGATATTTCTTGGTTGAACACTGTTACTTAGTCTTCTATTCAGGAGTAGGGAGGGGAATCTAGGGAGGTTATTGTTGAATAAGGGAAATGTGATCATTAAAAACAAAGGTGGTCTATTACCACATCCTTTAAAAATCACCTGAGTTTTTCCTCACAAATCTTGGGTTAGGAAGCAGGTGGGAAGAATACATAGTAAGAGTAAAATTACCATGATTTCTGACTCATGGAGAGTGTAGTTCATTTTTTTTAGGAAAATTTTTTAAAAAAATCAGTATTTTGTTAAGATCATTTTTGTTAGATCCCAACCAAACTGATAGTATGTCCTTATCTTTTAAAATAATAGAGAATACTAAAATAATCATGTATTTAAGTTCCTGCAACTTACAACAGCACCAGAGAGATTGAACATATTTGTAGATATAATAGATATTTTAGGAATAGCAAATAAAAAAATGAAACAATTCTTTGTTATGTTTCCTTTATTTTTCAAAATTACAAATACAAGTCTCCCCACTGTATAGCATTTTCTTATATTACGCCATAATCTTTATAAATCATTATGTCTAACATTTGTATAATATTCATTCAATTGGTTTTTACTATAATTTACTATTTCTTTCTGTCAGAGTGATTTTAACAGATTTTTCATAGTTTTAAAAAGAACATCTTCCAATCATAAATATGCAGACAAGGACTTGTACTCATATTCTTGGTGAAAAAAATTCAGGGGAATCTCAATTCATTTCTCAAGTTGTGTTCATGTTATGAGTTACCCAATGGGAGTCTATACCTTGTTCTTTAATTTTGGCTTTGAGTTCATCAAAGAAAACTAAGATTCTTAGGAATTATGATTACTTAAAATCTAAAAAATTAATGATCTGATGAAGTGTTATTCATCTTTAAAAAACTCAGAAGATGGACTTGTTCTACTTATCACAGCACGTTTAACAATAATTTGTTTACCATTTAAATATTTTCCATTTATTTTTATGGTCAATAATGAAAACATAACCTTGGGATGGTGTAAGACTGGAGATATGAGTTTATGAGTGAGAAAGAGAGAGAAATGATAAGAGTATGAACCATATAAAAGTTGTAAACTAGAAATATCACATAATCAATGGTCAACAAACTAATTGATTAGGTTTCTTGCAGGGTGTTATGGTGCACACCTGTAGTCCCACTGCTTTGGGAGGCTGAGGAAGGAGGATCACAAGTTCAAAGCCAGCCTCAGCAAGAGCGAGGTGTTAAGCACTCAGTGAGACCCTGTCTCTAAATAAAATACAAAATAGGGCTGGGGATGTGGCTCAGTGGTCAAGTGCCCCTGAGTTCAATCTCTTGTACCCCCAAAACAAAACAAAAATAAAAATTCATTAGGTTTCTAGTTTCTATTTTTATTGCTATTAAAAAGGTAATTTTCCCTTTAATCAATATGCCTTAGTAATTATAAACTCTCAGTCTTTTGCTAAGTAATTTATAAAATATTCTCATATAGTGATATAAAACAGAAGACCTTCAATCAAACTAGTAATTAATTGTAGTAGAAATACACAAATGTGAATTAAATATTTTTCCTAGATTCAATTTTTCTATGGACAATAATTTCTTGGCACTAAGAAGTCAGTTATCATTATAAATACATTATAAAACTCTGATTTGACTTTTGGCCATAATAAAAGCATCAATACCTTTGTATTTATTTGGCTCAAAGCACAAGCTTTAACTTGGAGTTTCACAAAGTTATCCTCTGTAATAGGAAGATTTTCCTAGAATCAAATGATAGCAAAATATTATTACATATTTTATGAGAACACTCCTTTTTGTTTTAAAATTTTCTTACATAAACAAATTTAAACTGAACCTAAATCTTACGGTTAACCCAATTTTAAAAGCAACAAATAACTACCCAATATTATAGGATAAAAAAAGAATGAAGGAAATTTGGAGATACAATTTATAAAATGCTTTAGAGTTCATATTTTGAAAAGTACTCAGACATCAAAATGGATATGTGTATAGACAATAAACTTAGGTTAACAAAATAAAGCAATAAATTTGTACTTTATTCCAATATAAATCATTTCAAAGCTCAGACCTTCACACTTACAGGGATATCCTTATACTCATACACACATCACATAGCCTTTACTAATTTTTGTAATGTTCTTAATGTTATAAATGAAATTCTTTAGCATCATTAACATCTGTCTCAGATATTTTAGCATATTCCATGGAATTAACTATCATATTCCACAGTTAGATAAAACTTCAAAGGCAAAAAATATTCAAAATTCAGGCACTCAATGTCATCCTGTCAATATTATTAAATATGATATGATTGACTCATAATAGCTATGCTGTGGCCCCAAAAGTAAATTACTCGCCTCAATCCCCTCTAGTCTCCTGTCATATATTCAAAATTAGGTCAAAATCTGACAAAAAATAGTTAATGCTACTCCATTACTATTTCATTTGCCATACACACAATATTATGAGAATATCCTTTTTAAAATCTCAGGTTTAGTATTTAGTAATACTATAAAGATAATCAATAATGTTGATGAATTTGTGAATTGTATTTGCGAACCTAGAGACAATTTGTACCAAGATCCAATCAAACCTTAGACCTTCTTCATGACCTCATGGTAGAAGTCAAAACTATTTTGCGATATGGACTCCTAATCTAAAGGATTTGGAGTTAGTGAAAGAGAACAACTAGATTAGGTTCATGTTCCAGAAATTCTTATTATTACTGGAAAATGCTGACATATGTACAGTACTTACTTCTCATCCCCAAATTTACAGAGAAATTATTCTGGTTTGGCACAAACCTTTCTAATAATCTTCAATATAGAAATAATTCTACTATTTATGTCTATAAGTTGATCATTTAAATTAGGGAACATTTAAAGTTGAATGAGTGAAGTAACTGGCAAGTTCAGATATTTTTATGGAAAACAATGTTTTTCTTTCTCTTCCATTACACTATACGAATCAAAGTATATTTTGAAGTATGGCTATAATCTAAAAACTTGCTTTGTTGTGGTGTGCAGAATAAACTGGATTAATTTTTCAACATACAGATGATTAGGTTGTTCTGTCTTCCTAATAACTTTCACATTACTGTCCTAAGGAACTCAATTTTTTTGTAGCAGTTCTTTAAAAAATATAGTTATGCTACAATATGAAGCAGCATTTTTACATTAAGATTAAAGGATAGTGATTTGGGGAGCTTCAACAAAACTTTTGCTTATTTAGTTTCATTCAACTAATAACAGGTCATTTAAGTTAGTCTATAATAAAAGAAAACACATTATATCTTATTTCACTTAACATTTTTATTACCTTTTCTTGAAATACAAATGTTATTTCTCCATTTGTGGAACTCTGTTGAAAATATAAGCCTTTCATAGTCACCTAAAACAAACAAAAAACACACATAACAGAGTCTTCCAGACCAAGTGAAAGCACGAATTGAAAAATAGTGTCGGCAAAGGACAAAATGACAATTATAAATGTAGTCTTCACCCAAGTAAACTTAGATAATAGTTCTTTTATAAAGTGATCAAATAAGAGTACGTAGCCATCTCTGGGTACATGTCTTACTTAGAATGGGTTCACAATTCAACCTTTCATTCTAAAAGCAAGCATGTTTAACTTTACTCTCCTACTTGAAAAAAGGCTTTACAAGAGCCTGAGAACCAGGTCCAAAGTTTCCAAGGTTAAATTTCAAAGGAAAATTAAAAAGGAAAAAGTAGATAGTCAGGACCTTGGGTGAAACTGTACCTCTAATTCTTCTCTAGCAGTCTATAGAACTTTTAATGGCAGAATTTACATCTATATTCTGTGAATGTTTCTGTTTATTTGTTTGTGGTGTTTGGGATGGAACCCAGGGCCTTGCACATGCTAGGCAAACCGCTTCCATTGACCTATATCCTCAGCCCTGTGTTCTGTGAACTTCTTGAAGCATTTCCAAGGATTCCACAGTTGTTTAATTTTTGTAGTGATCATACTGCAAGACAATTGTTTTGTCAACTTAACAGAAAAATAAAATAAAAAGTATATAGGTTGTTCAATTTTAAAAGTAAATATGCTATGTCACACACACACACTCAAAAAAAAAAAAAAAAAAAAAAA